GGTGCACTAGAGACGTTTCTGAGATAGTCTGTTCTTGGTCATAACTCCTACGAGAACTTAGCATCCCAGAAATCGAAAAATTATGCTCGTGCAAAGTCCATTTCCCTACTAAAAATGTTATCCAAGTTTGCGCCACACGTCTTTCTGAGCAGAACAATCTGGAGCACATAATTCAGCAGAGGCGCCAGCCAATCGCATGCAAATGCGCCACCAGCAACTCTGCTGAATTCTGTGCTCCCGATTTTGCCGCTCAGAAAGGGACGTGGCACAAACTTCGATCACATTATCAGCAGGGAAATAGACGTCACACAAGCACAATCTCCCAATTTCTGGGATACTAAGTTCTCGTAGAAGGAGCTATCACCAAGAACAAACAATCTCAGAAACGTCTCTAGTGCACCTTTAAATCCTGTGGGGAAAGGGGGGGTATACAAAATATTTCCACACTCTAAACAACCTGCGAAACGCCATTTAGTGCTTCTTGAGGATGGTGCCCTATGACAGCCTATAAAATTTCTTACTTAAAAATCTAAAGCTAAATTTCTCCAGCTGAATCCGACGCCATAGTATAAAGTACTTTTGCCAAATTCAGTGGCTCTAAACTGCACCAGCTACATTTGCTAACAAGTATTTTTTTACTGTTTGTGTTTGGCACATGAGAACTCTAACCAAGCCAGAAATGTCATCGTTCTGACATTGAGGAACCTACTCTATTTCTAGTTTATGTAAACATACTACTCACATGCAGTCTTCTTTAGCACTAGGTTAACGAGGTCACATAGCAATAGAAAGAAGGGGGGGGGGGGATACTAGGAGCGGGAAAATGAGGTCTTCAAGCTCTTAGTTTCTTGCCAAGGGAGAAACTCAGTTCCTCCTTTTAAATCAGAGCACAACGTCGCATATGTACCAGAATTCAAAAAGAGGCCAGGTGAACTGCAAGGTTCTTTACCTCACACACTGGGCAATGTCGATAGTTAAACACTCTGCTTGAGAAGCTGCATGAGCGGTTGTATGTATGTCTTAAATCAGAAAAAAAAGACTAAGAAAGTTCAAGAAACGGTCGACATAGAAAACCACTCATTCCAATGTTACTGTCACAGATATCAGCGAAAATCGCTATGACCGGAAAGCTGACGATTGTTCAAATTTCGCATTGCCAAAAAACATCTAAAAAAAGGGAACAGGTATGATCTTACGCAAACGAGCATGGAAGTAATAGCAAAATGGAAAGGCAGTTCGCACCAAACACTACCGGCTTGTAAATGATGCATGTACAGTGCTAATCACACTTGTCTATAACGCGCGAGCGTGCGGCTTTCTCCGGGGAGCGCTAGACTGGTGGCATTCGCGGAAACTAATGGTGAATTCCGCTCGCAGATCTTGAGCGCTCCAAAAGCGCTCCATATGGAGCGCGCATATTCCGCTCGCAGATCTGGCTCAAGTTGGTCATCTTCCGCTCGTAGATCTCTGGCAGCGCCCGCTCCACGGAGCGCCCCAAACTCCGTCGGACTTGCTCTGTGGGATTTCACAAATCTCTCCGGAAGTTGACAGAGCGGCCCACGTGATTTCCGTCTAAATCGGCGGTGCGCATGCGCGGCAAGGTTGGAGAGATCGGCGGGCCGGCCGGGCCACGGTCGTGGAGTTGGATCTGTTCGGGTGCGTCGGTTGTTTACTCTCGATTGTGACGGCTCGAACGCTTCTACCTCGCTAGATCAGGGATAAAAAGCCGGGAATGTGAAGCGTGGCAAATGGTAAGCGCTGACATCTGTGATCGAGAGAAGAACAAGAAAAAGAACGACAGAAAAGCCGGAGGCAGACGCAAGGTTAGGCCTATTCATTCTGCAGCCAGTGATTGTTTACCTTTTTATCCTGCATTCCGTCGGCGGTTTCCCATGAAATAAAGCAAGAAGTGGTTAGGCAACGACCGCGCAAGTGATGGTTTGTTACCTCCGTGTTTATTAAAGTCGTACTAGAAATCTGAACTCCGCCGCTGGCAATTGCTGTCCGTACCCCGCCGCTTTGAGGCGGCCGAAAGATATGTGGCGGTGCGGAACGCGGACGTCTTCGTTATTTATGACATGGGCGCCGTGGTACGTATAATTTCGCCCGGGCTGTGTCGCGTGTTACTTCTGCAGCTAAGCAGTGACAGTCGTCACTGGTCGTCGGAAAGATCAGCCGGCTGGGGCGTTTGTGGGCTGGTCAAGTTCGAGCAGCGGCCATTTTGAACGGCGGAGGGGGAAGCGGTGGGAAGGGGTGTGGGGGAGGTCGCTTCAAAAATGCAAGTTTATCTTCCCCTCGTCGATTCGGAGCGGGTCCCACGGAGCGGAATTTTGCCTCCATCGCGGATTTTGGAAAGCGCTCGAAATCTACGAGTGGAATTCACCATAAGCTGGTCACGTGGCGCAACATGAAACGGCCCGCTCGAGAGGTGTCCTGCCCACTCTATCAGCTGGCGGCGAACGCGGAAGGATGCTCGCACACTTTTTACAAACATCATTGCTCGAACAATAAACAAACTGAAGCATGAAAGCATATCAACGATGTCGTCATCAAACAAAAAAAAAAACAAAAAAATCATAAAGCATTTTACTTTTATCGCTTATCATGCGATAGAGTGGGCAGGATACCCCTCGAGCGGGCCGTTCCACGTTGCGCAACGTGACTAGCTTAGCTTCCGCGAATGCCAGCAGTCTAGCGCTCCCCGGGGAAAGCTGCACACTCGCGCGTTATAGACAAGTGTGATTAGCATTGTGCTTGCCAATTCCCATAGCTTTTAAAATATATATTCTCACAATAAAATACTGAGATTCTGGCGTCGAGCACTAACGTTCGGAAAAGCCGATCCAGGCTGGATATGTACGCACACTTGCTGCGTCGACCTAGCATGTTCACCCCTGCAGCAATCAGGACTACCCGAGATATTTTTATCCAGTACGCAGAGTATCATAATTGTTAACAAATTTACTCGGTAAAAAAAAAATCTACGAAATCCTCTTTTTGAAAACGCACGTAAGGCACACAACCAAACTAGCGAAACGAGGACGCTTAATAAATGTCGCGAAGATAATCCGGAGTTACCGTGAAAACACACAAGCAGAATTACAGCAAACCGAAGCTTTCACGACAAAGATCCCAGGTCCAAGACGCTCCCAAAATCTCGCGAACACCAGAGAAGCGACGAACAAATCGTTAGGTTTACAAATGGTTCAAGACAACATAATGAACAGGCACATTCATGCAAGGGAAGATCTCTGAACAAGGACAACATAAAACATAAAAGAAGTGAGCAAGGTTCTCCGGAAACCAATAAAAAAAGGGGGTGTCAACGACTGGAACAAAGCGACAAGGCATGAAAAAACGCACCTGTCGAACCAAATCACGCTTCGTGGGCCCGGCCTGCTTGCCACCGCCGACCACTAAATCGGGCTGCAAATTGGTCAGCGCCGGCCTCTTGGTCAAAGCCTGGGTCTGCATCTTGCTGTCGGGGTTCTCGGACCTCTTGGAAGGGGCAGCCCCGAAGGCTCTGAAGTTTTCGTCGCCGGCATCGACAACGGACGCAACGTGAGCTTGACGCCTCGCCATGTTTAAACAAAAAAAAAAAAAACGGTCGGCTCGCTTCTTGCGGTCACGGGCAGAAAGAAAGACGGGTCACTGAAAATCTCGCGTCTCTCGGTGTGGGTTCAACTCACGGCTGCATGGGGGCTCTCTTTTCGGTGACCTTCGTGGCTGACCCGAGCTGGTGTGCGGTCTTTGTATTGATGTCCGAATGTGGATCGCGCCGAGCCCACCGCGCTGTCGGAACCTAACTGACCGGAATGCAGCGATGCAGCTGAGCGAAAAAGCGTTAAATTCCCCGCGACGGGTTGGTTCCGCACAAACGGACCAATGAAATGCGCCCGTTCGGGTCACGCGAGGCCACGCGTGAAGCCCATACGTCGCTTATTTTGATGTTTTTTTTTATCTCGCAAGTTCGCACGACCGCGCGCGACTTCGCGATCACGGCGCCACCAGCGCCACTTCGAACCTTTATTTGGAAACACAAAATCTGTTTAAAAAATAATAGATATTTGGTGTGCGCTGTGCTGCAAGATTTAAAAATCAATCATTTATTTTTTCTAATTAATAATCGCTGTTTCTGTGCGACGTCCCAATGAACTTCAAGCAAGTCATAAATAACAATTTAATGTCTGGTTTATTAAGAATAAAGCTATATACACTCCGGAGTGCATTTCGGTCGAAGCGGCTATACCCACTCCGCTAAACTCGTATAAAACGAAAGGCCACAACGTGTTTTCTAAGTGATGGCGTAGTATAGGGGTTAAGGAGTCCGGTTTGTACGCGAGTGGACGCGGGTTAAATCCGCAGTGGGCCTTTTTTTTTTTTTTTCTTCTCAATTTATTTTGTTTTGTCGAGGCATTGGCGATAATTACATTTCTTTTTTGCGATGATGTTATCGACGAAACTTTGCAAAACTAAATTGTATGGGTCTCCCTTTTCGGAGGTGCGATCGGGGACAGCGGGGCTTGGGTTGCCGGCTGGACTCCGCGAAGCGGCGTGTACTGGTTAAATTTTGTAATTTGCAGCCGATACTGTTGCCCCGAAGCGGCGTGAACGCAGGCGGGGGGCGGTGTTAACGAGCCCCCCAGTGATACACGCGCCGTTTGAAAAGGGTGGCCCGAGCGGCATGAGCTCTGCGCGGAGTGTGTATACCTATTTCGTCCAAAATGCACTCCGGAGTGCGTATAGCTTTACTCGTTTATATTACCTCGGAAGAATAGGAGTACGGAACCCGTACAAAGTTCACAAAATGTGTAGTTATTTGTTTGACGCCCTTATCGAATATATTATTGGTCCCCAAATATGGGCACATGCTTCCATTGCCCGTCGTCCGCGACGCAAAATCACAGTAGAAAAATCTGCCCAATGTCGCGTTCTCAACGTTGACAATTATTGGGTAAAACAACACTACACAACGAAGCAACAACACGCGACTTCCAGATTCACCATCGCCAAATAACTTTTTGATAAAAAAACTTCCAGTACACGATGCCACCCAAGATGATAATTTCCATGATGATGATCAAGATCAGAATGAGTTTGTTGGTGATCACGCGTCTGTACATGGTGCGCAGTATCTTGCGACTCGTCGTCAAGATCTGATCGGTCTCTTTGAGCCGCTCTTTGGACCGGACTAGAGACTCGCGCTGCGTGCGCAGCTCTTCGGAAACTGCAACCCCGACTTGATCGGTCTCGGCAGCGACTTGAAGCGTTCGCGCGAGGGTATCGGTGGTCCTGCCCAAGGTTTCGTTCATCTGAAGCAGCCGACTTCGCTGAGGATCGTTCCCAAAGTCACCGATGACGGTTGAAGGACTCAGGAGTTCCTGCCTCGCGCCGCTGGCGTTAATGCTGGTTGCCAGTGTGACAACCGCCTTGTTGACGTCGTGGAGTTCAGCCCGGTACTTGCGGGTCTTGGCGTTCATCTGGATACGGTACGCGTTGGGCGCCGAGCGGGCTTCGGCCTGGAGTTCTTGGAGGACGCCGTTGGCCTGGTCCAGTTTACGCTGTACTTCGCGTAGCTGGGTTTTCTTGCTTTCGCCGCTTTGAAGGCGATAGTGGGTCCCGTCCAACTTGTGCTTGATGTCGTCGAGAAGGGCCCTGAGGTCCTCTTCGAGATCTTCGAACTTCTCGGACGACATGCCGTGATGCGTCGCTGAGAAGTCCAGTGGAAAGCCGGGGGCGTTCACGGACGTGAAGAATCGCGAAAAACGGCTCCAAGACACAAACGTGACACGAAACACACCCCGCCGTAAAAGATCGCAGAAACCAGCGACAAGAGCAGTGATATGGACGCGTTCGAGAACACCAAGTCCTTCCGTCTCATTTTAACAGTGACGTCATTTAGTATCGAATTTTACGGGTTGCGCTCGTTAATTTATTTCTAACATAAAGGATATAAACCGACCGAAAGAAGAAAACATTGCAATGATAAGCTGATGTGAACAATGATTTTATGTTTTATACCATTAATGCATTATTACTAGATCGCAATTTATATTTATGTCCTCTTAATTTACACTTTTATAATTTTCAGCCATGCCGACCGTTCTGGCATTTGTTTAATCTTGAATTAAGTAAAAGAACGCACTCAAACAAATCAAGTGACACGAACATTTATAAATGTACAAAACAATCTTAGTTTTAATTAGGCGGCTTTTCGCGCCATGTGCCAATATGATTATTATATTTAAACACGTTTTTTAGTGCCGTCACCTGGTGAGAGAAGTAAGAAGCTATCGTAGAGGAACAGGGGAGAGCGAAACAGAGTGGCAGAGATCCTCACAACAGCTGAACGAACCCTAAGCGCTTTTGTTATGGCTCGTGCGGTGCCATGACTCGCTTGAAGTCGCATTAGGTCGTACCGCGGTTACTTCTCGCGCACAGACGGAAACAGGAGAGCGACGAGTGCGTGCCCGAGACCCTGAAGCCGGATGGCGGCATCGACAGAGTCAAGCATGGCAGATTTCGACGCGATCTACGAAGAGGACGACGAAGACCCGAGGGCCAACGAAGACTCGTTGGTGAGCCTCGTACCCGAACCGGTGGTCATACGAGGCGCCGGAAACATGACAGTGTGAGTACCGCTCTATCTCCTCCGCACGAGCTAGCGCCTACTCCATGCGCCTCAACGTCACGCGCTGCAAGAGTTCTTCACCCCCCACCGTGCATGTATGCGCTCGCGCGAGCACTTCGATAGTTCATTTTTAAACCATGCTTCGGTGCTCGCTTACGAAAGAGGGAAAAGACCTCCGCGGTATAACCGACAGCGTCTCTGAACGTCCAGGTCGCTTTAAAAATAAATAGCGGCACAAACAACGTTGGGTTTTTATCCCCTCCGAACGCCCGGAGGCAGGCGGCGAGAGCTGCCAGCGACGCACTTTTTGTTTGTTTGTGCATTTTTCGTGGTAGTTACGGCAAACAAAGGGAACGATATCGCCCAGTGTGTTTGGTTGGCGTGCCGCAACTTTTTCCAGATAGTAACGGCGTGCGTGTGTGGGGAAATGGAGGGGAGGTCTTTTTCCAGCATCGATTCAGCCTCACCCACGTGTTTGTTGTGGTGTCGCGCCGACCCTCATGACGTCTCGCACACGTCACGACCATTAAACAGCTCGTCGATCCAGAATTTTGTTTTCATTATCGATCGGCTGATCTACGAAGTCCGATCCTGAAATGTAAACCCGGCTTTGTAGCTCTCATAAGTAAAATACGCTTCGCAGAAGGCTGAAACTCCTTGAGATTCTGACGCTTGCGGTAAAGATAAAATGCGAAAGTTTGAGCGCATAATGTTGCCATACTACAGAAAAAATATTAAATGGGTCGACGTTTACCTGAGCCAAATATTCACCAAATTACAATTTATACTGTCGGTGCTTGCAGCAATATGTCAGTGAAGAATCTTGTAAGCATGAAAGAATACAGTATTGTCTTTCTAAGTGGCCAGGGGGGCTATGTTCGACAAATGTTTCGTTTCTCCTAAAAAGAAACGGAAGTCACTGAACTGGCATCATGGCGTCTGATTGGTTAGAGGCTCAAATGACGAAAGAGGGAACTTTAGTCCTTTGAGCCTCTAACCAATCAGACGCCATGTTGTCAGCTCCGTCACTTCCGTTTCTTTTTAGGAGTAACGAAATATTTGTGGCACATAGCCCCCAGTTTTTTTTCACTGAAATAAAGGCTACAGGCACCCACAATCTCAAATTACTCCTCGGTGAATATTAGGCTGAAGTAGATGTCGGCTCACTGAAAAGTCTTTTTTTTTTTTCTGTGTGTCTTTAGATCCAGGTAACTTCATGCGCTCACACTTTCACAATTTATCACCACCGCTAGCATCAGATTTTCACTATGGTTCAGCTTTCTGCGATGCATAATTTATTTGTAAAAGCCGTCTTTGCTTTTCTCGATTCGACCACGATTTCCCCCTTTACCGTTCACTTCTCCATGCTGGCAAAAGTCTCCTGCCTGCGAGTATGCGTGCGATTTGTATTTGTATGACAGTGTTGTCCTCATCTAGCATATTGCATCACCACATATGAACACAGTTGTTGCAGTCTGACAAGATGAGAATGATGGCTTCCTACTTTTGATACCGCTTCGGCGACTTGTAAGCCTGCAATGCGCAGCCCCAGCACTGTGCATGCTGGAGCAGGGGCATTTGAAACAGACGCCCTGTCGTTCTTGTCCCGATAGTTTGGACTGTTGCCTTTGTGTGGCTCTCATTAGCCAATAAAGATTTTTAATATTACTTCTCTTTTAGATGCTATGCATTGGTTCATTTCCACTAAGTTCTTTTAGTCGACTGTTCCTGAGTGGTGTGACATGGAGGCACAACCCGGAATAGTCAGGGACATTATCAAAAAACGAGCCCAGTCAGAAAAAATAAGCCGGAAACGCCATCGAGTGCCCTGAGCAAAGACTTGTGGACTTGGTGGAAGAAAAATGGGCAATAAATTTTGCTTAGAGCAGAGCGCAGAGTCTGCTCACTCGATGTGGAGTGTGCTATCCGATACAAAGGGAACAGCCGACAAATCCAGTCCAAGCATTGGATTGGATTGAGGGCGCGACACTAGACTAGACCCTGCTAGGGCTACTAGAGTTACTTACAAATGGGGAGAGCCGCAGACTCCAACCCAAGCTTTACAACGAAACTATCCGAAAGTGTGCATCTGGTGGCCATGCTGCCATTCGGTTATTGACGTGTGTAGTTGAGAGTTGTGCTCTCATCGTGTCTCCGAAAGTGGCCTCTTTACTGATGATGCTGGCAACAAGAGAGTGCTCATTTAATCCGGACTAGACGAACCCGAATATTTTGTAATATGCAAGTTGGATTAAGCCCGTGCAAAATGATTCTTACAGTGTTCAGTGCTCAATGCTTTGTGTTGTAACGGCTTTATATATTTAACCACCTCTACAGTGGTTAGGAAATTTCACCTGAAATTGTCAGAGGTTTTCAAAATAGTAATTTGCTAGACACCCTGATCCACAGAATAAGCTTCTTCATTGACTCCACTCCCGGAGTAACAGGATGCCGTGGTACGGGACAAAGCAAAACACACTCCAGCAGTGACAAGAACTACAGCAACTCATTTTGTGTGTTCAAAGTTGTACCTTCTGTTTAAAAAAAAAAAGACACCATTGAGCTGACAACTTCCAAGTGTCCCTATGTCTCTTTTCCAGTGTTGATCGTTCCCCCGTATCACTGTGCTTTTCAGATCCTTGATGCGAACCACGGTATCTTTTAAATGCGAAGCAGTGCCTCGCTCAATTATTAATATGATTTACAATATATATATAACCAAGCGGGGAGGGGTGTACACACATCCTTTGACTGATCTCTTGTCATGTTACAACAATCACATCTTCATTATCTTAAGCGTGTTATGCGGTCCACGCGTGGGACCGTTCCCATTGTCCAGTGGACATCTTTGAAGAGGAAGCAGTTTCTTTAGAAATGTGGCTGTCTTCTGCTTGCAGGTTTGGTCTGAGCAATAAATTCGACACGGAATTCCCGCCAACGCTATCTGCTAAGGTAAATACCCTCTTCGAAATCCGCTCCCAATCACTGACAACCCTTAGTGGCGGTGGTTATCTTCAGAGACGCTCTTGTAGAGATATGCTAGTCTTAAGAAACAAAGGTTGAGATTTAAGCACAAATCTGGCTGTGATATGGTGACGCACAATGTGGGGTCACGAAATTTTACTGGCTCAATTGTCGTAAAATTGTTTTTTCTTGCTAACATACTTTGGCTCATTTATGGCTAAACCAACTTGATTATAGGCTGTGATATCTGTTGCTGGCTTGCAGAAGCTCCTGTGTGCAAACAATGATTCTGTATTGTCTATGAATGCAACGTTGAGAGAGGCTTGCACCACAGTTTTTTCATAACTTTAGTTTTAATTATTAATAGCTGCCTACTATCACTGAGAGATACTTGTTCCTGTCTAGAATAACAATCTTTGACAAGCCCAGTGAGCTTGTTCGGTGCGTTTGGCGCTAGTCTTTTACCGGCGTCCCCGCTAACCCTATCTGAGTGGACCGTTGATCTCGATAGGTGCAGGCTGCGTAGACGCAACTTCAGACACAGCTGGAAGCTCAACTCTCGACTTTTCCCGATGTTTTGTTTTGCATTTAATGCTGTATGTACTTTCCCAAAGACATTGAAGAAGCATTCTGCCGCATTTAAAACAAAAATGAAACTGCTTACTACTTTTGTTGGGTACGTGCCCGACTAAACAAATGTGGCTGGTATGTTTGTTTTGTTTTACGACGAGTTTTGCTGGCGCCGCCTGCTCGGCAGTGTCAGTCAACAAAGCTGTCTAAAATCCTTGACAACACAAGGTGGTCGAAAGGCACGCATATTTCACGCGCACAAATGATGTGATACCAATCTACATGGCACGACTCTGACATCAAACTTAGCAACCGTCAACATTCAAACAATATATTGCGCATACCACACGGTACACCATTATTCGAAAAGGATTTATCTGAGAAATATATCAAATAACGCGGCACAGCGGTGTTCACGACAGTCGCGCCTCTACAAGCGGCCGTAATTCAAGAGGACCTGGTTTTAGGGAGAGCTTCCTTTTTTTTCTTCACAATACCAGCACCAAGCAGAGAGACAACTGTGCTCTCCAGTCCCTAAGATAAAGCTCGGCGTAGATTATCTCTGGGACTTGAAAGAACAGTTTTCCTTGTTTGCAGAATTGTGTCGTGTGCCGTTCGATGTTCTTTCCTTGCTTTGTTTCTTGTGAATGTCGAGCAGAACCGCTGAAATGGTGTGCACTTACCAGCCTCATTTGTCTCGGGGGAAGGCAACAGTGAAAGGGCATGCAGCATGCTCAAGGAAAATAAAGCAGAAACTTCCAAGAGAGGCTGGAAATCTTTCTATACGAAACCGCAAAACATAGGTGGGGGATCGCACTGAGCAGGTTTCAACAATCCAGGAGCGTGACAGAAAAACTATTAGGGCATGCGAGAGTCGCACCAGACGCTTTCATCATCAGCAGTATGGTGGCGGGCTAGGAGCGTTTTTTGGGAAAGGTTGTGTTTGGTTTGCCCTGGCTGGGCATGCCCGACCCGGAGGAATAACACATAGTCAGTTCCGGTTGCTGTACCGACCGGTATCTGCCTCCAGAAAAGACAAGTGTCATGCTTTCGCCTGTAATGATATCTCGGCCCACGATCACGGGTGCCACGAGTCCTGGCAGATAAAGAAATCGCTGACGCCGCTTCTTTCCACTAAACAGAGTCCGCAGCCTCACGGTTCCTCCAGCTGTTATCGCTGTGCCAGCAGCTAGCTGCAAACGGGTTTTTTCATTCCTGGAGGGTTGTCTCTTATGCTTTGCAGAGAAATCACCTATAAGCGATATGGCGGCCCCAGAATCCTAAAGCATGGCAATGGGAACATGAAGCAGTGAAATCGTCATGCTCGGTTCCATGATGTTGGGCTCCGGCTAGATTCGACGTACCGATGGAATTTGTGCCGCGGCCTCACTGCTCCCAGGGACTGTGATGACCGTCAGCGAGTCGCTGGCTGGACTGAAGCACCACCAGTGCTCGTTGGTTTTCTGTTAGTATTCTTCCTCGTCCCGTCCACGTTCAATTAAATGTAGTTTCTTGTTGTTGAAACCGGTTTGCTCCATGTTATTTCTCCGGGTCGGGCATGCAGCAAGGCAAACCGACCACTAGGTGTACACTCTATTGCAGGTTAAGAAAAGCGAGACAAGCGCTGCCTGCGAAGCCCTACATTCTTTCGATTTTAGCAGATCGAACACTGGAGAGGAGGCAGGTGAACTCACCTCCTCTTTGGCATTCACTCTGCTAAAGTAGAAAGATTGGAGGGCTTTTTGGGCAAAGCTTGTCTACCTTTTCTTAACCTGCAACAGAGTATATACTCAAGGACACCTTGCTGTGGCTATGCGGTTAAAGTTGTCGGCCCATGGGCGCTCGACAACAGAGCCGCGCACGACCGCCCTTCACTTCTGAAATGCCACATGATGCAGTCCACGAGTATAGAGGTTTGCATTCGTGAAGTGTGTAACGAGTTTTAGGAATATGCATTAAAAGATGTTGGGCAGTATACGAGGCAGGCAAGTGGCTCTAACTGAGCAGGCGAAACAAAAGGGCTCTATGAGCAGATGCCGTTGCCGGACCCAAACTTTTCATCCACCGTAGTCGATGGGAAATGGCGCCACCCTCGTTTACACGTAGGGCCGAAAGTTGTTTCTCGTGCGAGGTGGCGTGCTGTGGTAGCTGTAATTTAACCGGCTGCAAAATTACCGCAGGTGGCTCCAGAAGAATTCAAAGCTACCATTGTGCGCATCAACAGCGTCCTGCGCAAGACTCTACCCGTGAACGTCAAGTGGCTTTTCTGCGGCTGCCTGTGTTGTTGCTGTACCCTCTTATGCTCGCTCTGGCCCGTCGTCTGCTTGAGCAAACGGGTGAGTCGTTCGTCTTCTCGAACACTGAGCTCCCTCCCCAACGTTTATCTTTTCCCCAAGTTCTCTTTGGGAGCATCTGGCCCAAGCGCTAAGAGGAAGTACGGTGGAATCTCAATAATTTGAACCCGAAGGGGACCAAAACTTTCTTTGAATAATGCAAACTTTGAACTCCCGGGAGTTTCCTCCCTTATAACTCATAGGACGGGACCTGCATGTTAGATTGAATTATCCACGAGTTTGAATTAAGAGGGTTCGAATTAACGAGATTCCACTGTAGTAATGAACCCTTTTCAAGTAACAAGCACAGTCTAGAAGGTTGCCTGTGAACTTCAAACGAAGTGCAGCCCAACATAGCATCCGCCCGTCAAAACGTGCTGGCATTGTATCGGTTTTTATTGATATTTATGCTGCATAGTACCATTGCTCAAAAGAGAATCGCCGAAAAAGGCTAAATATGCGCAAAGACGGGTTCCGACCACGTGGGTCGTGCGAGACGTTGCCCGTCGAAAAGAACGACAGCGGGAAGCAAGGCAAGGCGAGAGGGTGCATGTACAGGGTGGGGCAGTAAGGACCGCCACATTTGGCACGCCTTGCGAAATTCAAATTCCAAGCATGTATGCGAGAAATTGGGCACGGAAACATAGTTTAGCAAGAAGTTTTATGTCTTGTTTTCAAAGCCCAACTCGGAGGATGTGAAATGTTAGAAATAAAGCGAAACCAGTGGCCGTGTATTTTTTTTGTCCTATAAAAGCCTGTTTGTCGTCTGCACACTGGTTTACGAGTTCGCTCCCGCATGGCTCGCAATACGCAAAAACACTAAGCGCCAATAGTAGAGGCTGGCGATGTGCGAGATAATCGCGTTAATTAATACTTTTAACAATATATGATGAATAATGACCACCTGTGGGAAAGCTCAAAAACCAGTTTGCAGACAACAAACATCTTGTATAGGCCATAGGAAATGCACAGCCGTCGTTTGTGCTTTAATTTTAATATATTACCATCTCTGACTTAAGCTTTGAAAAGAAACAGACATACATCTTGAGAGACTATGTTCGCGTCCCAATTGCGGGTATGCAAGAATTTGAAATTTTGCAATGCAAGCCGATGTGTTGATCCTTATGGCTGCACCCTGTAGAAGCATAGGCATACTGGGAAGAATTGTCCGGCGCAGTTTCACAGGAGCCCAAAACATAGGTAGATAAATGTGGCTGAATCCTTTTTCATTGGGCAACAGGTTGTGCCACCTACAGAGTGCAGATCTTCTCTATTTTTGGTGCCACTTATCAAAAATGGGAAGCAATGGTCCTTGAAGATAGCGATGCTTCCGTCGCTTCTCATATCGAATGTTCTCTACAGGTCTGAGAAAAAAGGCTCTAGTGCAGGCTGCAGTTCTTTGTTTTTCATCTCTTTTCCTATGTTCAGTCAATTTGGAACAACGTAGGAACACTAAAACAGCACAGACGTGTCACCATCTTTGAGTCTCGCAACACAGTCCTCAAAGTCCTGCACGACTTCACCATGAAAAATAAGGTCTATAGCGCTTCGATCCCCGCCATGTCGAATCTCGGGAGATACAGTGAAATACAACTCAAACAAATTTCAAGGCACCTCAAAGAATAGTTTACATCGGTGAAAGTTCACTTCATTAAATGCTTTATGCACAGTGTGGCTTTGCTGGGGAATTTGAGTTTGTTCATCTGAATATTTTTTTTCAATTCAAGTTTCTTCAAGTGGTATTTCACTGTACGCTTTGTTTCTCTATGAGTGCAAGCAACGTAGAAGCTGCTATAGACCAGAGGTCAGATTTATGAAACAGTCTTACGAACGCTGGATCCGAAGATATCCGAAAAAAGCTACAACGGCAGCAATTTCGCCATTCAAGCAGCTGTCAAGGGCTAGTTCGGCACACTAAGCCTAGCAAGGCACTCCTACGCTGTGTTGTTCCGACTGTCCCTGGCCAAGACCGTCTGCTGAATAGAATGTGCTCGCGCGACCCTTCTCGACCCTTCCCGTATAAATAGTTTAATTTCTGACTCCGATTTTCAGCTCAGAAGTCAGTCTCTTCCCCTTGTCATTGCCTTGTTTTCAGAGGCAGCGACGGCAAACGCTCTTGTTGAAAAAGGAAACTTTCGTTGATTCTACAGAATGTAGAGAGATTCATTTCTTCATTCATTCATTCATTCATTTGTTTATTTTTTGTGTTCATGAAACGCTTGAAGCCTTGATAATGATGCGCAACTAACATATAGCAAAAAAAAAAGAATAATTCTACAAATTGACAATAGAAAACTTGAACACTACAAAGATGGTTATAGATTCGTAAGAGAAAACTTGAACGCTGCAAAGGATGGGTTGAAATGTCAATGCAAGAATCATTGAAAGTATTATACAAGGTCTGAATACGTGTCATGGGGCAGGTTCGGAAAAATTCATTAACATAAAATGGAAGAGAAATTCGCAAAAATCTTCTTGGGACATGTATATTTATCGATAAAGTTAGGTCAGGGCAATCATTGACTCCGTGAAGGCATTTGAACAAACATATGAGATCTCTGTTGCGTCGTCTGGCACTCAAAGTAGAACAATTGTATCGCTCTAAAAGTCTTCTATATTCAAAGTAAACAATGCAACCAACATAGCGGTCGTAAAAAAATTCGAAAAAAAACGTTTCTGGACATTTTCAATCGACTCTTGGTGCGTACGCCCAATAGAATTCCACACAACTGATGAAAACTCTAGCTTAGACCTAATTAATGAAAAGTATAACTGCATAATACAGGCCCACATGAAAAACTCGCGTGTAATTCTGGATATGACACCTAACGTACGAAAAGACGCGTTGACAATGTTATTGACATACGTATGAAATGACAGAGAATAGTCTATATAAACTCCAATATCATGAGTGCAATCCACCCTTTGCAATGGAGCGTTGCGGAGTTGGTAAGAAAAATGAAAAGGCCTTAGCTTCTTAGCAAATGACATAACAACAGTCCTAGTGGGATTAAGTGTCACCCTGTTGAGACTACACCAATCGCTCACTGATTTTACATCATCCATTAGTTTCACACAGTCCTCTACACATACTATCTGCCTAAATAACTTGATGTCATCGGCGTATTGCAGGATTTCTGAATGTAGAACACATGAACGAAGGTCGTTTATGAAAACATTAAAAAGAATTGGTCCAAGAATGGACCCCTGGGGAACACCAGACAGGGTGACAAAAGGCCGGGAGAGATGACCGAGAATACGTACAAAGTTCTATCTATCGGAGAAATAATTGTGAAACAATGTGCATAGTGTAGTACTCGTATTGTACGATATCAGCTTTTGTAAAAGTATCGAGTGGTCAACCAAATCAAATGCCTTGGACATGTCAAAATATACACTGTCAACCTGACCCTGCTGACACACGATAGGCGAAACGAAATTAAGAAAAGACACCAAGTTTGATTATACTGATCTTCCGCGCACAAAACCGTGTTGTGAGGGCAGGATGTTAAGTTTAAAAAAGCTCGAAATATGTCCCGAAAGTACTGTTTTGTAAACCTTTGCAAATGGACATAATAATGAAATGTGTCTATACTTTTTTAGGTCATCTGTTCTTCTTTTCTTATGCATCGGCACGGTTATCGCGTTTTTCCAAATCGAAGAAAAAGTGCAAGTCGATAAAGAAAGGTTAAAAATATGCGTTAGAATGGGTGTGAAAATGGAAGAACATCCTTTGACAATAGAACTCGGGATACCGTCAAATGCGACCGATAACTTATGTTTTAGTTTTGGATTGCAAGTTTAATGTCAGCGATTTCAAATAATGGGACTGATAGGCAATTGCTACCGCTGTCACCAACGTCAGGCGCAGATAAACCATTCCGGCTGCAAGAATATACAGAGGCAAAATAGCTCGCAAAAACGTTCGCTACTTCTTCGGGTTCACTTATCGGAATTCCAATGAGTCAGCGATGTTTGTTGTCGATGCAGTTGTGGCAGTAGGGTTCTTGACGTGCCTCGAGAACTGCAATGGTTCACGATATAAACGGCGCTCTGCAGACTCATGGTGCACTCTCTTATCGCGCTGCAACAACGACTTTGCCTGCGCACGTGATTCGGAAAACTTGGCGTACCAAAACGCTGAGTCAGAAGCCTTATATTTCGTATGATAATGCAATTTGGATCTTAAGGCTGATCGCAGCTCGAAAGAATACCAGTGAGGATACCGATTTGTTTGGGGACGTTTCTTAGGAACGAAGCGCTCAAGTGCAGATACGATATGTTTAGTAAACGCTGCTACCGCACAGTTTACATCAGTCATGTTGCATATGTGTGCCCAGTTTACGTTATCTAAATATTGAAATAGACCAAAGTAATCGCCTCTTGAAAAGGAGAACGAGTCAGGATTTGTTTTTTGCTTCACGTTCCCCACGAAAAGCTTAAGGGAGACAAAAAATGGGACGTGCAAAACTTCGGGTGATACCAATGGGTTAAGGACACACACTAGGCTGTCGATGGCAAAGTTAGATAGAGCAAGATCTAGGATTTTTCCTGCATGGTTTTTAAGACTATTCCATTGGTTCAGTCCCTGAAAGTTATAAAAGACAAAATAATATTTGCCTTTGGCGAGGCATTACGAGTGGGCAGAGCTGAGTGTTCTTGACTCCAATTTATATCAGGAATGTTGAAATCACCAAGTATGAGTATACTGTGTCGGTCTACATCAAACTTATCTCCCACTATATCTAACTGATCAGAAAGCATAGATGCATAAAATTTAGGAGGAAAATAAAATGTGCCGATTAGAAGGCTTGTCTTATCACGGAGAGTTATTTCAATCCAAACGGATTCGCAGTCTGACTCAAAATCGAACCTGCGAACCGCATGCAAGTGATTTTTAACTGCAATGAGGACTCCGCCACCGAAGTTTACAGTCAAATTTTCATAATCTCTGTCCCGGCAGAAGACTGTGTATTCGGGGGGAAAGTAATCATTTGTTGCAAAGGAGCTGTTCAATTAAGTTTCAGTTAGTGAAATAATATCGAAATCACTTAGAACGACGTTTTTAAAAAATATATTAGCTTTTGCGCGCAACCCGCGTACATTTTGGTAAAAGAGTGAACAATTTATGCTGCGATCTAATTCGTCGTAATTGTGTCACGATCATCATTACCCCGTACCGCTCCAAAAAATGGTCTGAAAAGAGAGCCCATTGGCCAGACGTCCGCCACATTAATTTTGTTGAAGTCTTCCTCATTCACAGGTATGTGGAAAGAAGAGTAACTATCATGTTTTGTTTTAGACTGGATGCCGGTAAAAGGTTTCCCTTCCAGAAGGGCAGTAAGAGCTGCTCCTACATCATCGCACGAAGTGTCTGGACTAAGGCGGGAAACAAAAAGTTCCTCAAGCCTCGGTCGTCTAGGGACTGACGACAGCTTACTGCTTGCACAGGTTCCAGAAGAAGGCTTGACGTGTTTCTTCCGTTGGACGGGCGTAAATTCATCGGCGTCTTTCGGTGCTACCTCGTCCGTCACCTGGACTGGCAGTGCGGAGGAGACCACAGTCACGGCAGGTTTCGACGAAGACTTGTGTGCGGTAGAACGACTATTTCCAGGCGTCGCCTTGCCGCCGTCCGTCCGAAAGTCTTGGCCAAGGGCCGCAAAGGCCCGCAAAAATCAATTTCTCAATGTATCGCCTCATGTTCACCACTTGTGCAAACTTGATCACTACACCTGAAAAACCTCTTCCTTTTTCTTTTCTTTTTTTTTCTTTTCAAAACTATGTTGTTTGGTGGAATGCCCTTCCCGATTCCTTTGTCACCAAAACTAACCCAAATATTTTTAGACTCTTATTTTTTTTTATTTAGAAATGTTCTGATTTCTCTTCTATCATTTCTTGTTTAAAATAGTGGTGGCTGTGTGACTTGCTTTAGTTATTTATTCTTTTTTTTTGTTTTTTGCTTTGATTCTTTTGGTTGTTTTTAGTTAGTTTTTCCTCGTAAGGTGTGTGCCTTTTCTTTTATGTAATCCAGTTGAGAAAACCTTTAAAGGGTCAAAGAAAAAAAAGAAGTTTTTTTGAACAGTTTGGTTGGGACACGCGTCTCAAAAAATAAATTTTACGTGAAAAAATACATTTTTGGAGCAGTATTGAAGGCTCGAGACTTATTTAAAATTCTGCGTGGAATGTCCATGACGCCACGGAATGGTCATACACTCTCGCCACCTCAAATGAGGGCCAAGCCGATCCACCTCTCCTCCATGCACCCGAAATGCCGAGAGAGAAAACAAGTGGAAACGAGGTTACTACCGACTAAATCGCGTCTCACACCGTCAAAATTGCTCTAAAAACTTATTTTGGTTTTGCGCAAAGTTAGTTTTTTGACACGCGTGTTTCAACCAGACTGTTTAAAAACATTTATTTTCAGTGGATCTTTAAGGTATTTCAGTAAATAAATAAATAAATAAAAATTTGGTCCCGAGGCGCTGACCGAGATGCAGTCCAACAGCGCTGTTCCAGAGATTCGATCAAACAGGCGCATGTGCCCTCCCAGTGTATTAAATAGGTATTGACATGGCTCTTGCCGACACTTTTGTAGTTCACATGTATGTTCTTGGACGACTACTCGCTCCTACAGCCCCGAGGCCGCGAAAAAACGCTGCAGCAATTTTTTTTCCCTGTGCGCCGCTTTTGCAGTCGAACAGTGCAAGCCGTCTTCTTTTAGCAACGATGGTAGTTGTGTTGACTTCGTAGTGATTGAGTTTACAGCAATCGACCGAGGCAGTTATTTCGGCATTCTCTCTGGACATTAGGGCCCATGTAAATCATAGCGTCGTCATTTCACTGCGCGAAAACAATCTCCAGACAAGCATTGGCGGAAAGTCCACCTGCGCTTGTTGTAATTCAGAATCCACGTGCTCCGAAGCGGGTTGAGCCCTGATTAGTTGTTTGTGTTGCCGAAAGGACTATCGCTATAGCAACAGCCACGCTCTCGCTGGCATCGGGAGCTTGCAGGGCGCCAAAAGACTAGAACTTCAGTTCGTAAATATTAACTTTCGCACTTCTTACGATGTGTGTAATTTGCAAACATAGCTAAGTTGCGTAGCCTGAGAAAGACTTCGTGAATGTGGCCTCTGTAGCTTTCAAGTTTCGACTAGTGCCCGTGGCAAGAAAAATCAAGTATCCTTCGGTCGTGTTTTCCACATTGTTTAAAACAAATCTGAAAGAACTACATGCTTATCATTTTGGGAAGACTCTGAAGCCCCGTGCTGTACATTTGTTTTGTCGTTTTTGTTAGCACACTAGAACAGGTGCTGACAGACGCTTGGTGTATGACCACAACTTATACACAATTGAATGCTGCAACGTCACATTTCTGATTGCATCTTGCAAATACTAAAGCGCCAATGTACACTTTTGAACGTGTATAGACGGCTACAGACCTTCAAAGACTGTGTCGGAACGGGATAGAAAACTGGAATCTATCTTATTTGCAGACGCGGCATTCGATAGAGAAAGTCCTGGACTGGGAGAATAGTCACCTTTACCACAAGGTAAGTGTGCCTTCAACTCCATGCGGTCCTGTTTTTGTGCCCATTGCATTTCTGCAGGCAACCGTTAGAGGGCTGTCTCATTCTAAGATTGGGCTGAAGTCAAACACAAAATTACACTATTCTCCTTCATTTCAACTTTAAAAAACGTTGTACCTAGTACCCTATCTGGTGAGAACAGGCATGTCTCAAAATTTGTCTGTCACAAAAAACATTTTTTTTACTAATATTTATGCTACAATACAAACTTTTTGGTTTGCGGACGAAACCGAAACTGTTCTCCTGTGGGATGATGATGATAGGGTTTGTACCCAACTAGTGTCCGCTCCGAGTTTGCTGGACCTCCGAGTTGCCTCAGAGCGAACACTATAGCCAATTTCAACTCAAGAAGGTGGAGTGAGGGAAAGGAAGGCTGGGGAGGAGCATGCAGACTGTATGCTGGAGAGGAGAGGGGGAAACTTCCTCCTTTCTTTTGCGTTTCGTCTGCCTCCTCCTCCCCAGCCCTCGTTTCCCTCGCTCTACGTTTTTGTTTATAATAATAATAGTTTATTTACCATATACATGTATACTATATGGTGAAAGCTGGGGAAGAAAGCCTACAAAGAGCTTGACTGGTCCCCAGCCCCCTCACAGGAACACAGCGGTGTCAAAAATTGTACAAAGCAAAGAAGTCCACCAACGCAAAACAGGAATAAAAAAAACAAAGCGAAGAAAAGCAAACACTGGGCCGAAAATGCCAACTAGATATCTGCCACACGCAACAATGAAGAAAATGGACTTCCAAAATACAAAACGTTAACACGACATTATTTCAAATAAAATATTCACGGATCTCACGTGGGGTTAAAGATACTATAATAACATTGGAATGCGATAAAGTGTTGAGCAACGGAGGCAGGGTTCTTCTAATCGCCTTAAGCCCGTAGTCAGTACGCGATGTATCTATCTATTATCCAAGGGTCAGGGTGACGAAGGGTATGCGTTTGCGGTTTTTTTCTGAGGGAAGCCAAGTCAAATAGGAATTTTTTACTCTCGGTATATTCTTGCATATATACCATGGCAAGTCTATATTTGTAATATTCGTGTATTTTCATTATCCCCAGATTAGCAAAAACTTTCTTGAGTTGGAATGGACAATAAATAGTTTTGTACAAACCTGGCCTAGAGTACAGTTTCGGTTTTGCCCGCAAATCGAAAAATTTGTACTGCATCATCAATACTACAGGGTGATTCGAGGATACGCCAGGCTCTTTAAATCAGCCACAAAATTCGGTTTCTTAACCTATCACGCTACGACTTTGTGCAGCGTTGCCCACGGATGGTGCATTTTCTTTGTTTTTTTTTTGTAACATTTGCAAAGAGCGAACTTACCTGAGGAAAAAGTAAAGAAAGAAAAAGGCTTAGCTCCTATGGAAATGCAGCGAAGCCGCCGGTCTTCAAACAACATGGCGCCGTTTCGCACGGGAGACAAGAGATGGCGTAAGCGGTCGCGACGCCAACTGCCGCCAACAAACGAGGATACGACGCTGAGAGCCGGCGTATTTAGCAGATGAGAAACTGCAGTTCTTTGTTGTTACCGCGCCTGTTTTTGTTTCTGCGACTGTCGCCGCCAGCGGAACGCGCGCCGCTTTTGAGTCGAAAAGATTGTCTGCTAAAAACGCCAGCTCTCGGCGCCGTATGCTCGTCCCTTGCGCCATCTCTTGTGTCCCGTGCGAAACGGCGCCATGTTGTTTGAAGACCGGTGGCTTCGCTGCATTTCCATAGGAGCCGAGCCTTTTTCTTTCTTTACTTTTTCCTCAGGCAAGCTCGCTCTTTGCAAAATTTACAAAAAAAAAAAAGCACCATCTGTGGGCAACGCTGCACAAAGTCGTAGCGTGATAGGTTAAGAAACCGAATTTTGTGGCTGATTTAAAGGGCCTGGCGTCTCCTTAAATCACCCTGTACAAAACAAAAAAAATCATTTTTTTACATGCATTTATTTTGAGACATGTATTTATTCTGAGACGTCCTGTCCTTCCAAATAAAAAAACTTTTTTTTATAGGTTTAGAGTTTTTTTAAGGGAGGATACTACTCAGGAAAGCAAACTTTTTCACCGTTAGTCTTTTTCGTATAAAATTTGCAGGGCACATTGATAGTTGGTAAAGAGGATGACATGGCTAAATTTTAGAAGTATAAATATATCCTTTAAAAAGTACATCAAATGATGTACATGTATATCAAATGAACATGCCCCCCCCCCCCCCCCCCAGAAGAACTCGTTTAGAATAGGAAATGATAATGGCCAGTTCTTTTGAACAAGCATGCAGTAAAACATCTCTGTCACACGGCTTGTAAAGAAATGACAGAACACCATTTCTATTAAAAAAAGAAATATGAAAATTAAAAAATTGTTTGCCAGCGTTAGGTTTAAGTTACTGCAGCTTTTTTTTATAACAAAGGGCCATGAAATGCAGAAAGTAAGCTCATAGCCAAGTACGTTCCTTACAAAAGTTTCAGTACAGAAACTTCAAAAATTGGATCCACACATCGTTTTATTATCAAATGGTAGCTTTCCTGAAAAAAGATTTGATGCTGAAAAGTGAAATTGAGATAAATGTGTTTGAAAGTTCAGAAACTCACACTTCAGGTGGCACCTGCATGTCGGAAGTAATTTATTGCAGAAAAAAATACTTCAGTTACGGGAGTAAACCTTTCTAGCAGCATCCACGAGGATACTTGAAAGCTGCTACAAGCTAGTTGGGACCAATCAAGCAGCTTCAAAACCACAAGATGAACCAGTCTGTTTGCAATTGGTTCAGCGATGAAAGAACGCATACATAAACAAGATAAGCACCATGATGGTGCGCGTCTGACACTGCCTGATAGATCTCATCAGCCCAAAGTGTCGGATGTGTCTGCACTTGACGTGAAACAATGTATAGCTTGATCACGCCGACAAGGACTGGGGGGGGGGGTGACAAAATGCTACGAGCTGTGACAAAACGACGCCGTCATGATATAACCATGTCATGGCGTCAGGTGACGTCACAGTCCTTTGTGACAGTTCTTCATGACTGCTCTTCACGACGGTTTTCTCCTAAGAGTTCGGCTGCAAAAATGCGTTCTGTAGTTAAAAGAACATCGAATTCCTGTTCAGCAAGGAAAGGCAATTGGTAGGAGAATCTGTGTAGTACAGTGTATTCCACGTCTAACGATACCAGATATCACGATGTACTGCTTATAACGGTCCGTTTCTAGAGTTTCAAGACTAGAAACTCCCAGCTTTTCGTCCTTATACAACGATAATCAATTATGAAGAATGAATTTTTTCTTCATTATCTTTATAAGTGGATTGCACTGTAGTCAACCAAGGGAAACTTTCTTCGTGCTGGCTTTACTCGATAATGGATAGAATTTTAATAGAAAGGCTCGCGCATCTTCGACGTGCCTGCTTTGCACGTCAATCATATACAGTTAGTCACTCTAATTTAGAGAGGGAGGCCAGCAAATGTGATCTATGCAAATGTTCTGACCATGTGAACATCACGCTCAACATTCCATCGGTTTCACTTCTTTTTCTAAATCAGATCATTGCCTCGTTGGTTTTGTGCAAACAATTATCCTCCAAATTCTTGGTGAGAAAGTAAGTGTGCGGGTTCGTTCATAAAAATGCCGACCTATAAGTAGAGACACCACAGTGTGAACATTCTTCTGTCATTTTGGTTTCTTCCACCATTTAATATTCAAAGTGGGGGGGGGGGGGGGGGTGTCTACTACGCTGCCTTCGTTTCGTCATGACGGCAGGAACATCATCTGCTGACTGCTCCGATTTTCAGAAACGTAGAGAAATTTTGTGCAAACGCTTGCTCCTTTGCAGCCAGTATGGGCTGCAGACGGTCTTGCATTTACACTATACACCTTCGACAAGCGCACAACCTGATACCAGGTTGTAGAGTAGTCATATCATATGATGATATGATGTATTATCGGTATGTCATGTCATCATCATATCAAGGCGATTCATGCTAGAGTTTAATCTCTTTATACTGAAATCCGAGTCATCACACAAGCCTCTCCCTTTTGACGGGAATTCCACCCATCGAATGACTAGTAGACCACTTCGAAGAAACGGTGAAGTTTCAGTTGCATATCTATAAAGAACTGCCCGTGAGAGTTCCACCAAAAGAGCTTCTGCCATATTTATTTAGCATAGGCGTAAATCTCCCCATGGGGGGCACAGGACTGTTGCTCCAACTCTTGCAGATTATTCAACGGTTAACGAGCGTGTTGCTTTGTTTCAGCTCGGTCTACATTGGAAGCTTGGAAAGCAGCGGTGCGATTCCAACAGCATGATGGAATACGTAAGTACCCTCCTATCGAAAATGGGCTCCAGTTATTGAAACTACGCTGCGTCACCTTGTTCGTGCTACGGTTGCGGGGCTAGCACAGCTTGTGCAGTGCTCAGAGAAAAAGCTTATAAATGAGAAAGTGAAGACGTAGAGACACTTCTTCCGTTCTCTCAGACTTTTGTTGCGCAGGTTGGCAGCAAAGTTGGCGAGATCACTGAATGTCGCTATTGCCCGGTGCCAAATGTGGCGATGGTCGAGAAAACGGCAGCTGTTGTTGCCGTTTTTTCGACCAAATGTTTCCTTAATTAACTTGCATCTACTTCCAAGAATGGCTTTTGATCCGACACAAAGCAAGCAAAGTTTGCCTTCAATCATCCTTTTATACTTCTCGTCTAATGGTAATTACATCAATCTTTTTATTACGAATGAAATGGTCTGAAGCTTACACATTCTTACTGTGTTCGCCATTACACTATCTCACTGTGTTAGCCATTGGTCAGTGTCGGCTATTTGCTTTCTTAATAAGCCTAACTGTAGCCGACAGCCAGTGCGGCAGTTTTCGTGATGAAATGTTTCTGCAATCAATGTACACAACTTCCAAAGAGAGGCTTTTCTTGCAAGACAAAATTAACAATGTAACTTTGCTTATGCTCACTGTTTGACTTGTTGTCTAACCATTTTTTTTTACAAACAAAAATAGTTAAGTTTGCTAATGATGAGGGTCCCTTACCACTGGTTCTGAAACCAGCTGCTGCTCATCGAATTCATCCCCAAGTTGGCCATCCATCGGCCCGACTAAAGGCCGACGAGCCAGTCCCCCTTTCTCAAGTGTTGCCGCGGCGCTCGGACCAATGAGGCGGCAAGAGGGCTCTCGAGGACGACCAGAGCGCAGCGAATCTCTGTCACGGCGGAACGAAGACAGCCCCGCCCTGAGCATTTGCTGCGTCTCTTTGGAGACCGTCTTACAGACAACAAAAACGGCGCAAGGCAAGAGTTCTTAGCCGACACCACAAGACTGCTGTACCAAGTGCAGACGCAAGAGATCTGATATGTCGTTTAAAAGAAACGTGCGACCAGAGATAGGTCGCAAACGAAAAACAGCAGAGAATTGCACAGGTGCCTTTAATTTACCGTGTTTAAACGTACGTAGGACACGCTTAGACTTAACAAACTGGAGTTTGCTGGAAGCAGCGTCAAAGACCTGTTGCTTGTTCGATGCTATCAATCCTTTTCAGATGTCAGCAGTTGCAAGCTGTCTGAGCGTAAACTCGGAAGCAGTAGGAATAAAGTTGTTAGCGGGCGCTCCGATCTAAAATACGCAAATGTTGTTGACAAGGGTGCTCGTACAATTAGCGTCATCAACTCCGTAGCGAGTGCACCTGGCATTTGAGACTGCTTCCTCGTTGACTGCCGACAAAGTTTAGAACTTTATGGCGTGCCATTGATCATGATCGTCGGCTTGGATTGTGTTGGCTAAACCCTTTTAACCGGGCAATCAGTTTCAGAAACGTTAGGAAAGGGTACACACATCAAAACTTGACATTGTGTGTCTCGGAGCTTTGCAAATCGGCGCCAATTGTTCGCTTTTCACGAATACGAGCCGACTGTAAGAGAAGGATGCCACGAAGAGTGTGTTTGAAGACCTCGAGTATTGTACATTCTCCTTGTTCTTGCGACGCATCGGAAGTCCCTAGCCAGGAAATTTTTTCTTCTTCTTTTTTCGTTGTTTTTGTTTTTTTTTGCAGAGAGGAAGGCAATGCAATATGAATGGTGAACTTTGAGAGGCCAAGGATGAGAGTCGTTTCGTGATAGAGGGTGAGCATGTATTTCCTTACCAACGGGAAAATGGTGACTTCAGTTTTGCGATACCGAGAGCATGTAGCTGCACATGGCAATGTTCCGAGCGATTCTTATTGTCAGTTTTCTGAGATGTCTCGACATCCTAATGTTTTGTTGTGGTTGTGCACTTGTTTCAAAGAGTATTTTCTTTCAGAGTTTCCGCCTCATCTCGACTATTGTTTGTTGTACAAACCTTCTTTTTGTGTATCATACACGTGCCATGACATACGGAAACTCAATGCACGACCACCATGAGAACAAAAATATACTGCGGTGGCCACAGAATTTCGCTGCACACCTTCGTCGAGGTTTCTATTTTTTCTGCGCCGACGCTCGAAAGAATACTTCAAGATGGCGGGAGGCTAGTGCCCCCAACGGCGGACAAGTATTCTCGGAATTATAAATAGCAAACTAGGTTCACACGTTTTATTACTCTACTATTACTGCTGACGAAAGCAACCTTGCAAACCAATGTTGCACAGCGAGTACAGTATCGTGTCAAGTGATAGTAGGCACTTGGTAGTTCTTTGAAGTGCGCCACATATGGAATTGGCAAAGCACCGTGCAAGAGCTTAGGAAGCCAGTAGCCGCTACTAGCCGACGAATGCAAACTGAGCTTGAATAACTACATTGCGTTCAGGTGCCCTTAGTAAGAAAAAGCAAAACAGAAACGTGCTCTCCCTTCAAACTTATTTCGTCGGCCAGTAAATATATATATTTTTTTTTGTTTCTTTTTTTTTTGAGGGAGCCATGCATTATACGTATAAATACGGTTGAAAAGTGCATACATTGCTTTTGTTCGGTTGGGTAGGTAGCCTTTGTGTTGACAGTACTTGGAGGCGCATATACATTATTCTTGTAACCCGAGGCACCTGTACAAAATGTTAAAACGTTTTTTTTTATTTTGTTCTGAATTATTGGCATATTTATTTTTGCTACGAACTCTCGCATTCTGACCTATGCATGTCACAAAAGGTAAAAAAAATAAGTGCACGGAATTAATGGCAGCGTAACGTCGTGTACCTCTGAAGTGTGTGACATTAAAAGGAAAACTTGTACTTACAAACATTGCATTCCACAGAATGGTTGACTTTTTTTTCGTGGCATGATCATAGAAAATTACGCTGGATAGTCTTTTATAACATATGGAAACCTTGCAGCTTTCAATTAGAACTGGTTGTAAAATGCTGGTGACAAGAGTTTTAAATTGATTTAATAGAAAGTGTACATTAGCAGTGATGTGATTGCTGTGCCAAACTGCGCCAAGGGGCTAACCCTGCTACATTTTGACAAAATACGGGTGTTCTGCGCCAAGCCTGCTCCAAAGAATTAATTTTGGTCGCCTTTCAAAACCGAAACTAAACTAAGAACGTAATTGAGCATGCGTGAGCTATGTGGCGCAAGCGGCCGCCCGACACAAATTGCCCTGCATCCATCCGGTCTTGCATGGTTTTTGCCGCCGTCTCGCGTTTCGTGCCTCGTCGTCTCTGGACTCTCGTCTCGCGTCTTTTTTAAACTTCTTCAACGACAGGCGCGGGCGTGTGTGAACGCCCCGACGCTAGTGTGCCGGGTGCCAGACATGCCGTCATGCTGTGAAACAAAACCACGTTTTTGCGCGACGAGAGTTGCTTTGCTGACAACATCAATCTCTTGTTGAAAAAGGCACAAAAAGGAATTTTAAAACGAACTAAGGGGGGACACTACCCAAAAAAGTGAATTTTTGAACCCCTTGTCTGATTTAAATGACATTTACAGGGCTTATTTTTGTTGACGTTGAGAATATTTCTGTCAAATCTTGCTAACCTGGGTGAAGTACAAAAAAATTGCAAATGTTTAAAGAAGAAAGTGGGCGTGTCTGCGTAGGAAAACTATTGTTTCGAAAATACTTATAAATTTGTCGTTTTCATGTGTTATATTCCTTTAGGACAGTCGAGCCATATTTCTATATTATACCATATTTCATGACAAAAAGGCCACATAAACTCAAATACTGTTGTTTAGATTTCCATTCTTTGTCCAAGATTTTCATTCTTGACCATGAAAAATGACAAAAATAAAAAATACAAGCTGATAGCTATCTTCCCCTTTAAATTTCACTCCAGAAGAACTCATAAAAATTAATCCAAGTTACTTAATAAGAAAAGGATAGTTTTCCTAAAGTGAAATTTATGCCAAAAAGTGAAACGGGGAAAAATGTGTTTAAAGTGTTCCAACCCCTGGCTTTTCTTTAGCATCGGAGGACCGAAAATAATTTATAAAAAATTAACTATGCAGTGTAAGCTAATTAAACTTTCTGCGAACATTGTCTAGGTGTTGCTGGAAGTAAATATGGCATTTTTTCAAACTCAACTTTTTTTTTCCCAAATTGTTTTTTCTAGGTAATGTCCCTCTTTAAACGATTAGCAAAGAGCACCTGGTGGATGTCGCTAACGCCTCGTTTGTAATGCCCGTCTAGGAACCTTGAGAGCTAGTGAATATGACTCCCTCGCCTCCGACCACCACGAGAGAAAAGGGGAAGGAGGGGCTCCCCTCCCCCTGAGAATATCCTTTGTGTCTCCCAGAACTCGCTATTGTCCCCCTACAAGATTATAGAAGATTAACCTGTCACTCAAAATTCATACAAAAGCAGCCGCTTCGGTGGCTGGAACCGTTAGGACATCGCGGCATCAGCCTCGCCGAGGCTTTGCTCGTTCCGAGATGAACTACGTCACGATTGCGGTGAATCCCACGTGCTCTCCGCTGGCTGCTCTCCAAGCGCTTACCAGAGTGGGCCGTTAATAACCAAAAATACAGTGATCAGGCTCAAAATACCGACGTGCATTTATCATTTACGGGCATTGAAGATCATATTCAACCTATTTCTGAACACGACTGCTATTTATCAAATTTTGTTAAAGTGTCCCTTTTGAGCTTCCTTTTGAGAGGGACATTGGTACATAAAACATTTGCAGCAAAAGAAAGTTGGTGAAGGGGAGAGAGCTAAAGCAAAAAAGGCAATGTCTGCTCGCTGCACCCGCACATCGTGGTTGCTTCTCTTGAGTTTAGTCTTTGCACAAAGCGCTCCAAATTTCTTACCCTGGCTCGCGATGTCTTGCATTGATGCGCTCAAGTTCTTTTCTCCTGTGTGTTTAGCTTGTATCTCACCTGCCGGTCTGGCAAGCACGCGCCACTGGAGTGTTGTTTTGTCGTATGCTGGACAGTTACATTTTGCATACTATTTTGGGAACCAGTTGGCGATGGAGCGGAGTGGCATTGTTCCGATTTCGATTGAACAGCCGTTGCCTCCGCTTGCGCGACGAAGCACATACCAGTGAAAGCATGCTGATGTTGCCCTCACGTGCATGTGAACATGACTACACGACAGAGGCACCAGCAGGAACTCTTGCAATTTATTGCTTTATGTTTGCTTACTTTTGACGAAAATCTGGCACGTCGGGAACACAAAAAGCAAGTTCTGTCACGACACAGCACAAAGCGCCCTTCGTTAGTCCAGCACTTCACAGAAAAAAATGTTTTAAGAATTTTCGCTTGAAAAACCACTTTTGCTGCTGCGAAACACTGTTTTGGCTGCTCCAAGAGATGCTCCAAAATGGCTTAGGCCAATCACATCACTGCATTAGGTTTGGCAGTAGTGACTGTTTGATAGACAAAAAAGTCCCGATAGTTTGCAATGCACTCTTGCAATTTACTGGGCAACACACGTCCAGAAAATTTGTTCATTGTAGACCTAGAGCAACAATATTCTTTTAGAAATGAGCCTATATAGTCTCTGAAAACCATCTTCACTGATAAGACGTTCTCGCATCAGACTGTAGCTTTAGCAAAGCAGATAAGCACACGGGTTCAGGCCTTTTACTGTGGACACACAGCACATCATTTCTTGATAGCAAGATAAGTATTCAAGTTTTAGAAAGCCAACTATTCAACAATAAAGACATTCTCACATCAGACCCTAGTTCCAACAAAACAGTTGAACAGGTAGGTCCAGGCCTTTTATTGTCCACAGATGGCACCTCATTTTTTGATGACAAGAGTAGTACTTATACGCAGGAAATGAGCTTAAATAGTCTTAGAAAGCAAACTTTTCAATGATAAGGACATTCTCGCATCACGTACTGTAGTCCCAGCAAAACAAATAATTATCTAAACTTGAGATTTGACAGTTCAATGGAGTCTGCCTACACAATGTGTACCTTAACATTAGATAAGAAATATATAAACGGTGAAAGCATTTATAGTTATATTATTTTAACTTCAGGCGTTGATGCAACAAACATGTTGCATCAACGATGCAACATGTTTGCAAAATAATTCTGCGCAAATCAACTTCTAGCCATTGCTCACAACTCCCGCAAGAAACAACAGGTTTAAACTAGACTGTACCACTATCAGGAAGATAATTACAAAGCAACACGTGCTTCACAAACAACTGGCGACCGCCGCTGATGTGACGAAAACGCTTGGTATCCTCACCTCCACGGACTAGTAGCCTCAACCTGCAAGCAATAACGGAAAATTTGATG